CTTGTGTCCTTATAACACAGATGCTGACCGAGTTCTTGGCATGGGAAGAAACTTTACCATTATGCTAAGTCTAAGTGAGACAGCTCATATTTGAACCAGGCAGTCTCATTTTGAAGCTCTCCTTACTAACCCTTGTACTACGTTGTGTGATATACAGAGTAGGGACAATATCATGTTCACTTTTGTTTTCTTAGGGCCTAACATATTACCTGGGACATAACAGGACCTTAGTAGGGGTTTGTTGAATTCATTATTGTCAAATGAATTTTTATCCTGATGCTTTTTTTTTTTTTTTTTTTGTGACGGAGTCTCACTTGGTCACCCAGGCTGGGGTGCAGTGGCGCCATCTCAGCTTACTACAACCTCCGCCTCCCAGGTTCAAGCGATTCTCTAGCTTCAGCCTCCTGAGTAACTGAGATTACAGGCGTGTGCCACCATGCCCTGCTAATTTTTTTGTATTTTTAGTAGAGACGGGGTTTCACCATGTTGGCCAGGCTTATCTCAAACTCCTGACCTCATGATCCACCCACCTCGGCCTCCCAAAGTGCTGGGATTACAGGCATGAGCCACCGCGCCTGTCCTATCCTGATCCTTAACCTTGTAATTTATAGCTTTGTATAATCATGCTTAAAGTTCTTTCTAATTCTCTTTATAATCTTCTTCCCTTATTAAATCATCAACTTGTAAGGGAAGACTTGAAGAGTCAGACAAAGATTTTGAGTGCTAGGTACAAGGAACTTAGTTGTCTGTGGAGCAGTGCTAACCAAACTTGGCTGTGCATCAGAATCATCTGGGGGTTTGCATTCCTGGAAGCTATTTCCCCTTATATATTTAAGTAAAATCTTCAGAACATGGGCTAATCTGCATTTTTATTAAGCTTCCCAGGTTATGCTTAGGCACCTAGCCTAGCATTTAAGAACTGCTGCAAGGGATTGATAGAAATGGAAGACTCTACTTGGTCAGAAGCAGCTTAAAGTTCAGATAAAAAAACACATGCAATATGTAAACAGTCATTCATGACAAGAGAGTGAGGAGACACTATGTGATTAATGCCAAGAGAGTGGTCCAGACAGGGAGGACTCGAAGTTGGGTAGAGACAGAGATTGCTTTCAGCTGATTAGGATTGAGATAGTTGCTGGTTCTTTTGGGATTGGGGAGATTTGGACTGGCAGAAAGTTGGGGAAAATGTTCTAATTGCTATGCGACTAGATCTTGGAGGTGGAAAGATGAGTAAGAAACAAATAACCCCTGCTCCCCTAGAGCTCATAATATGTTTGATGTAGACAGTTAAGCAGATGTTTGTCAAACATGTGGTAAGTGCAATGAGAATTTGAGCAAAAGCCAGTATCAGGAAAATTAGGTAAATTTTCTAGGGAATGAATATAGACCAGTTCAGCCTGCATCACAAGTTTATGTAGGAGAATTTAAAGAAATACTGAGCTGGGTGCTGTGGCATACACCTATATAGTACCTCCTACTTGGCAGGCTGAGGCTGAAGGATTGTTTGAGCCCAGGGATTTGAATCCAGCCTGGGCAACATAGCAAGACCCCATGTCTAAAAGAAAACTTTGAAAGAAATACTGGCTTTTAAACTCAAAGGAGGCCAGGCACAGTGGCTCACGCCTGTAATTCCAGGACTTTGGGAGGCCGAGGCAGTTGGATCACCTGAGGTCAGGAGTTCGAGACCAGCCTGGCCAACATGGTGAGACCCTGCCTCTACTAAAAATCCAAAAATTAGCTGGGCATGGTGATGGACACCTGTAATCCCAGCTACTCGGGAGGCTGAGGCAGGAGAATCACTTGAACCTGGGCAGAGATTGCAGTGAGCCAAGATGGCACCATTGTACTCCAGCCTGGGTGACAAGAGTGAAACTCCATCTCAAAAAAAAAAAAAAATTAAGGCCAGGCACGGTGGCTCACACCTGTAATCCCAGCACTTTGGGAGGCCAAGGCGGGTGGATCATGAGGTCAGGAGATCGAGACCATCCTGGCTAACACGATGAAACCCCGTCTCTACTAAAAATAAAAACATAAATTTAGCCCTGTGTGGTGGTGGGCACTTGTAGTCCCAGCTACTCAGGAGACTGAGGCAGAATGGCCTGAACCCAGGAGGCGGAGCTTGCAGTGAGCCAAGATCGGGCCACTGCACTCCAGTCTGGGAGACAGAGCGAGACTCCCTCTCAAAAAAACAAAAACAAAACAAAGTAAATAAATAAAAAATAAAGGAATTGATTTAAAGGCCTGAGAGCTTGATGGGAAAATCTTTTGGAGTAGGAAACCTTTCTTGTACTTTTGAAATCATATTAGGGGCCGGGTACAGTGGCTCATGCCTGCAATTCCAGCACTTTGGGAGGCCAAGGCAGGCAGATCACCTGAGGTGAGGAGTTCGAGACCAGCCTGGCCAACATGGTGGAACTCTGTCTTTATTAAAAATACAAAAATTAGCCGGGCGCAGTGGCGGGCACCTGTGATCCCAGCTACTAGGGAGGCTGAGGCAGGAGAATCGCTTGAAACCGGGAGGCAGAGGTTGCAGTGAGCCGGGATTGTACACCACTATATGCCAGCCTGGGCAACAGAGTGAGACCCTGTCTCAAAAAAATAAAACAAAAAACAAAACAAAACAAAAAAAGAAAAGCAGTCACATTAGGCAGCCACTACTATGTTTACTCCTAAGTCAGCCTTGAAGATGAGGAAGCTAAAGGAGCAAAGAAAAGAAATCACAATAGCCTGTGGCCAGATTGTAGAGTTATAAATTGAACTGTCCACTGATATTTCATAATATGGACAGACCACCTAACCTTTCCACATAACAATTTCCTCATCCTTATGAGGGTGTAGTAGTAAGTTTCTAAATGTAGCATAGTGTTTAGTAGCACTTTGAAGTCAGACTGCATGGGCTTAACCTCTGGCTCTACACTTCAGCTCTATGACTTTGAGCAGGTTATTTAACTTCTCTGTGCCTCAGATTTCTCATCTGTAAAATACTCCATTGTGTATTGTTGATTAGATTAAGCAAATAAATATATGGAGAACTGTTAGAACAGTGTTTGACACATATGGAATTGTTAAGTGTATCCCTTCCAGCTCTAATGTCTTCTAATTTTTGAGGTTTTGACTCATCACCAGGTATCCACTGTGAATCCTACAACATTGGAATTACTTAAGAGGACTCATGAAGAACCATAATTAAAATATAGGACTTAGTGTTTAGATCTGCCATCACTACAACTGTATCAGAATAGGAAGTAAAATTAGATAATGCATCTCCAGTGGACACATTGCACAAATGTTTCCTTCTGAAACTTGTTCAGAAAGATGGCCTTAGCCGGGTGTGGTGGCTCATGCCTGTAATCCCAGCACTTTGGGAGGCTGAGGTGGGTGGATCACCTGAGGTCAGGAGTTCGAGACCAGACTCACCAACATGGAGAAACCCCACCTCTACTAAAAATACAAAATCAGCTGGGCATGGTGACACATACCTGTAATCCCAGCTACTTGGGAGGCTGAGGCAGGAGAATCTCTTGAACCTGGGAGGCAGAGGTTGTGGTGAGCCGAGATCATGCCATTGGACTCCAGCCTGGGGCAACAAGAGCAAAACTCCATTTCATAAAAAAGAAGAAAGATTGCCTTAGGGGCTTAATTAAGAATATAAACAATGGAGTCTGCTGTCTCCCTGAGAGGCTAATATTCATTTGTAAATGTTGACTGGACTGATGCCATTCTAGTTACTTTATTATGGTTCTCTTATTTCTGATGTTGGTAAGATCTGGCCACGGTTTGGGCATATACTTACTGTAAAACACACTGTGCAATGGTGAGTAATATAGTTGTAACAGCATAACATGTGATGGAGGGTCAAAGGTGCTCTGGAGTCAGAGTGAACTCCATAGACTAGCTTTTCCTAAGTCATAACAGTTGATTACCTGTAGTTCCCATTGAAAGTAGTAGTTACCCAAGTACCTTCAGTATAAGAAAAGTCAGTATTTACAAATGAGGCAGGTGCGGTAAAGTCTCAGCTTCTCAGGAGGCGGAAGCAGGAGGATTACTTGAGCCCAGGAGTTTGAGTCCAGCCTGGGCAATATAGTGAGACCTTGTCTCTTTATTAAAAAAAAAAAAAAAAAAAAGAAAAGCCAAGATATTTAATTTAGAGATTTTTAAACCACTCTTTAGAGTAGAATCCGTGATAAGTAAAACAGATTTTTAAAAAGCAGCACTACTCTGCTTGGATAGGCCAAAGTAAGTGGCCTGGAGCTGTGCTTACCAGACTTCTTCCTACTTATTTCCACTCCTCCCTGATGGCCTCCGAGTTTCTTTCAAGGAGCTTTAGGGCGCCTAAACTCACAGTTTAGGAAACGATGGTGTAATTGATTTTAGGTTCATTTTGCCTATAGCATAATATATATTTTCCCTTAAAATTGTAACTTATATAAAAAACTCAGTTCCTGTTTGTAGGTTTTAGATCCCATAATTTATTTTGTTTATTACTATTGCTATCTTCCCCCATTGGGATACACTCTTACTCTTTTTTATTGAGACAGAGTCTCACTCTGTCGTAAGACTCTGGAGTGCAATGGCGAGATCTCAGCTCACTGAACCTCCGCCTCCCGGGTTCAACCGAATCTCTGCCTCAGCCTCCTGAGTAGCTGAGACTACAGTCACACACCACCATGCCTGGCTAATTTTTGTATTTTTAGTAAAGATGGGGTTTCGTCATGTTAGCCAGGCTGGTCTCAAACTCCTGGCCTCAAGTGATCCACCAGTCTCAGCCTGCCAAAGTGCTGGGATTACAGGTGTGAGCCACCACACCCAGCCAACACTTACTTTTAACCCTCTATTTGGAGGCAAACCTCTGCATTTTGTATGCTTTTGTGGATATGGGGTTGATTTGTGGGGAGGCATGCCTAAAAATTCTCTGTTGAAAAGAACAACCTTTTAATTGTGAACTAGAACTTGATTAAATCTTGTATCTTCAGCTCAGACTGTTTCTTTTCATTCACTAGATTTGTCTGCCTCTGCTCATTCCAAGGTGGTGATCTTCACAGTCAACTCCTTGGGTAGTTCTCAGTCCTACCTTGATGTGGTACAGAGCAATGTGGATATGTTCAGAGCCCTTGTCCCAGCTCTGGGACATTATAGTCAACACAGTGTCCTGCTCATTGCATCTCAACCAGGTAAAATGCTTTATTTTAAATTAAGTTGATAGTCAAGTACATCAGTAGAATTGCCATTATTGATAAAAACCATAAAACTTTAGGGCCAGGCACAGTGACTCATACCTGTAATCCCAACACTTTGGGAATCTGAGGTGGGCGGATCACCTGAGGTCAGGAGTTCGAGACCAGCCTGGCCAACATGGTGAAACCCCGTCTCTACCAAAAATACAAAAGTTAGCCAGGCATGGTGGCGGGCGCCTGTAATCCCAGCTACTTGGGAGGCTGAGGCGGGAGAATTGCTTGAACCCAGGAGGTGGTGGTTGCAGTGAGGCTGAGATGGCGTCACTGCACCCCAGCTGGCCAACAGAGCGAGACTCTGCCTCAAAAAACAAAAACCAAAAAACAAACAAAACCTTTAAATTATAAAGAGACGGCTAGAATATTCAGCAAAATTGCCTATATAATATTGTTATGACTAACATGATCTAGAAGGTTCCAGCATACAATTTTTTAATGAAATATGATATTATGTTCTAGGTGTTAAGCCATACCTTCCTCAGTGAGAAGATGTTTAAACTCCCAAGAGAAAAATGCAATGACTTATATGCATATTTTGTTAATTCTGAAGTGTCAAAAATGTTAGCATGCCAGAGTACGTTTTTAACATTTTGTATTTTGCAGGTTGTTTTGGAATTGTCATACTCAAAAATAGAAATATTTTCAAAGAGTTAGTTTGTACTGGACTCAAATTGGTGAACAGATTTTTTTTAAATGTTCCCAACGTAGGGGTATTGTACGCATTTCACTTTTTTTTTTGTAGTAATTTGTTGAGTGACATTGATCTCTTTAATTCTTGACATCCTTTTGGAATGTAAGAAAAAAGTAGTTGTGTTTTCATTTATAATGCTACACTGAATCCAGGTGGCATATGAATCAGTATTTTAATTTAAAGATAGAAATTCAGTTAGGCTGGGCGCAGTGGCTCACACCTGTAATCCCAGCACTTTGGGAGGCCGAGGCAGGTGGATCACGAGGTCAGGAGATTGAGACCATCCTGGCTAACATGGTGAGACCCCATCTCTACTAAAAATACAAAAAATTAGCCGGGCGTGGTGGCAGGCACCTGTAGTCCCATCTACTCGGGAGGCTGAGACAGGAGAATGGCGTGAACCTGGGAGGCGGAGCTTGCAGTGAGCCAAGATCGTGCCACTGCACTCCAGCCTGGGCAACAGAGCAAGACTCCGTCTCAAAAAAAAAGATAAATTCAGTTTAAGATAGATGTAAAAGAAAACTCAAATCAATAAGAAGAAATTATTTTTTGTTTTTTTGTACCAGTTTTTATCCTCACTTAACCGTTCTAGGAATTATCTATTTTCTACCCCTGACAATTATATATTTAACAATAAAATTTGGCCAGACACAGTGGCTCACGCCTGTAATCCCAGCACTTTGGGAGGCTGAGGCAGGTGGATCACCCGAGGTCAGGAGGTCGAGACCAGCGTGGTCAACATGGTGAAACCCCGTCTCTACTAAAAATACAAAAAGTAGCCAGGTGTGGTGGTGCACGCCTGTAATCCCAGCTACTAGGGAGACTGAGGTAGGAGAATCCCTTGAACCTGGGAGGCAGAGGTTGCAGTGAGCCCAGATCGTGCCACTGCACTCCAGCCTGCGGGACAGAGCAATACTCCGTCTCAAAGAAAGCACACACACACACCCACCCACACACACACACACACACACAGAGTAAAATGTATCTTGTTGAAACCTTGTTAGTGTTTCTAATGTATATTAAAAATATGTTATGGGCCAGGCACGGTGGCTCACGCCTATAATCCCAGCACTTTGGGAGGCCAAGGCGAGTGGATCACGAGGTCAAGAGATCGAGACCATCCTGGCCAACATGGTGAAACGCTGTCTCTACTAAAAATACAAAAATTAACTGGGCGTGGTGGCACGTGCCTATAGTCCCAGCTATATATATATGTACATATATATATATATATATATAATGCTGCAGTACATTGAGGACCTAATATAGTTACTAAAATAATAAATATTTTGTGAGCTAGGCTAGAAGTATATATTTTTTAACCTTTACATTTTTTACTTTGTATGCAATATTTAGTGGAAATCATGACCTATGTGACATGGAAACTGAGTGCATTTCCTGCAAATCGAGTGATTGGAATTGGATGTAATCTGGATTCACAGAGATTACAGTATATTATTACAAATGTTTTGAAGGCACAGACTTCAGGCAAAGAAGTATGGGTTATTGGCGAGCAAGGAGAAGACAAAGGTAAGAAGTACATTTTTAGGCTGGGTGTGGTGGCTCACGCCTGTAATTCCAACACTTTGGGAGGTCAAGGCAGGATTGCTTGAAGCCAGGACTTCAAGACCAGCTTGGGCAACATAACAAGACCCCATCTCCACAAAATGATATAAAAAATTAGCCAGACACGGTAGTGCATACCTGTAGTCCCAGCGGCTCGGGAGACTGAGTGGGAGGATCCCTTAAGCCCAGGAGGTCAAGGCTGCAGTGAGCCATGATTGCACCACTGCATTCAAGCCTGGGTGACAGGGTGAGACCCCATTGCTAAAAAAAGAAGTACGTTATTATTAGTTATAACCAAAATTGCGAGTGGTCATGGCATTCACATATATCTGAGGACCCCAGAATTGTGAACTTCATTGGCTTTGTTCCACATTTGAGTGTGCCTTCTGTATAACAGGCCCTATATTGTGAATAAATTCCTCATATGTGTCATTCTGATTGTAATTACTTTTCAGTAAATTTAAAGTTAGACAAGACCACTCAGTAGGATTTTATATTTTTTAATTGAATTTCAGAGTCCAGGATTAATTTAAAACTTTAATTTTCCAGAAAGAAACATTTAAATAAACTTTAAAGCACCTATAGAACTCTCCCTTTACTCTCCCCACCCTTCAACCTTGCTTACCTTTCCCAAGTTCAGACCTTCTCCCTAGATACATGCCTCCTGTCTGCTGCTTTTTGAACATAATTTTCACTCATTGTTTATCCCTATGGCCTTTTTCTCCAACCACTTGCTCTTTCCCACAAAAGGCATTCAGTTTCCTGTATTGGAAAGCTCCTTTTCCTATTTCAAAGGAGTGCTTTCCTTATTTGACTTAAGAATCTCTTCCCTTACTCCTTTATTGTTTCTCTCTTGCTATAAAGCCAGGTTAGTCAGTGATTAAAGTGCTTTTTACCCTGATATTGTTCATTTAAGTATATGAGTACAATAAAGATACAGTATACTATTTGAGTAAGTACCAAAGTGAGTACTATACACTTACAGTGCTTGGATACTTATGAGTGAGCATTTAACATGGGCTGAAATTACTAGAGAAAATTCTATAAAGGCCATTTGGAGTTTGAACTGGAGTTTGGATGAATGAATAGGATTTTAATAGATAGTGAAGAGTAGGAAAAACATTCTAGGAATGGGAAATCAGAATTAGGCAAAAGCAGAAAGTTAAGTATGGCATATTCATGGGATAAAAAATGTGGACTACTTGTTGCAGAAAGTTTCAACCAGATAAATCTAATTGAAATTACATTTTGAAGATCTGTGAGTACTCGATCGAAGAGTTGGAAAGTGATTTGGGGGAAGTTAGTCATTACTTCATCATTTGAAGTACTTTACTATTAATTTCACTCAGCATGTAAGTGCTGCAAGGTAGAGCATGATACAGAAAATAACCTCTCTGGGCTGGGTGTGGTGGCTCACGCCTGTAATCCCAGCACTTTGGGAGGCTGAGGTGGATGGATCACAAGCTCAGGAGATCAGGAGCATCCAGGCCAACATGGAGAAACCCCATCTCTACTAAAAATACAAAAATTAGCCAGGCATGGCAGTGCGTGCCTGTAGTCCCAGCTACTCGGGAAGCTGAGGCAGGAGAATCGCTGGAACCTGGGAGGCGGAGGTTGCAGTGAGCCAAGATTACGCCACTGCACTCCAGCCTGGGTGACAGAGCGAGACTTCATCTCAAAAAAAAAAGAAAAGAAACAAAAAGAACCTCTCTGCCTGTGAGGAGGTGATAATTTACTTTGAGAGTTCGTTTTTTACTTTAATGCACATTAAAAAGTTAAATAGATGTCAGACCATATTTCCACAAAGCAAATCACCTTCTCAAAACTATTTCCTTGGAATTTAAAGTGTCATCTATACTTTGATGCCATTAAAATAAAATATTAACATTGATGATATCTAGGTTAGCGGTAACTTAAAAATTTGTAGTTTTCTGTGTAGTAAAAATATGTAGTATTTATGTAATTTTTAAGAAAAGCATTTTAATCGGTGGCTCAAGCCTGTAATCCCAGCACTTTGGGAGGCCAAGACGGGCGGATCACGAGGTCAGCAGATCGAGACCATCCTGGCTAACATGTTGAAACCCCGTCTCCACTAAAAAATACAAAAAACTAGCCGGGCGAGGTGGCGGGCGCCTGTAGTCCCAGCTACTCGGGAGGCTGAGGCAGGAGAATGGCGTAAACCCGGGAGGCGGAGCTTGCAGTGAGCTGAGATCCGGCCACTGCACTCCAGCCTGGGCGACAGAGCGAGACTCCGTCTCAAAAAAAAAAGAAAAGAAAAGCATTTTAATAAAATAAAGCAGTATTTTAAATCTGTAAAAATCTGCACTGGCTACTAGAAAGCTCAGTGCTAGAATGAGTCAGCCTATAAAATAAACCCTTAAAAAACCTGACAGTGTGACTGAGCGAAAATGCTTCTGAGGCTCCAAATGCTCCCTGACACTACACGCTAATCAACAGGACCCTGGAAAATGGTAGCAAGCAAGAACTTGGAGCAAATGTATTCAAGTAATGAATGTCTAGGGATTCGATCAAACTCAAAACCCAACATAGACCAAACCCTCTGGTCCATGTTGATCTCTTGCTTGCCTGGTTATTGCACATCTCACATCTTCCCCTCTAGTCTACCCTATAAATGATGTGAAATTAATAGTATTAGTCAAAACTTACAGAGTGTTTATTGTGTGCTCTCACATATTAATTCAATCTTCCTAGAACATGTTATTTTCAGAAGCTTTCAGAGGCTTCCTCTGACCAAACCATTAAATTGCATTGCTTGGCACTCAGGGACCCCAAAAATATAACCCTAATCTTTCCTCCCAATTATAGTTTGGGAGATAGCCATGTTACAAGAGAGCTGGAAGGGACCATCTATTACATTTTGTTTTAGGGAGCCAGTGAATGTAGGCATTGTAAAAGTGACCTGCCTGGAAGCCTACAGCTTTTAGGGTCAAAGGACTAGCACCCAGGTCTTTTGTCTCCCAGGCCTACCCCACAGCTTTGCCACAGGGACATTTACCCACTTTTTTTACCTCATAATTCCTTCGCCTTCTCGGCCATCTTATTGATATCTTTCAAGGTCTAAGTCAAGCACCCCTTATACAATAAAGGTTTTTTCCTGATCACATCACTTCACAGTGATTTCTTCACTCCTTTGAGCTAAAGCTATTTCAGTCTATAAGGTAATAAATTACCTATTGTCTCATCCTGTTTCTTTTGTTGTCCTGCTGCTTGTTCTTATCTGATTTGTGTGTGACCTTCTCCTTATTTAGAGTGCAAATTATTAAGTTCTTTTAGTTGAAAAAGTAGTACATTCACACTGTAAAAATAAGTACAAAAAGATATGCAGTGAAAAGTCTCCCTTAGATGCCAGACACTCAATCCTTCTCCCTAGGGACAATCACAGTTATCAGTCTCTTTTATAATCTTCCAGAAATATTCTATGTATAGACAAGCACATATGTGAAATAGACATCATACATCATTCTTCACCTTGCCCTTTTACTTACCAATATGATTGTGGAATGATTGCACAGTAACATAGAGCTCATTCATTCTTTTTAACTACTGGATATACCATAATTTATTTAACCAGCCTCTCTACTTTACAAGTTTTGAGGAATAGTTGATATATAATAAATATTGGATGAGTGAGAATGTATGAAATATGGTTATATTAATTTCTCAAGTCTCATAAAGAGAAAATACAGGCTGATGTGACGTGATAAATATATCACCTACCCTAACCTAGTATATTTGGGTAAAGGAAGAAAACAATCTAGTAGAAGTCATTGTGAGCTCTTCAAACAGGAACAATTTAAAACCTACCAAAAAGCAGTTTGTGTTTGATTAAATGACCTTTCATCCCAAATATAGGAATTTATTTTGTTATGCCCAGACCCTCTGTTCCCCAAAGAAGACCACCAGAGTCCAGAGTCAAAGCCAAGCGGCAAGGATCTTTATGACAAGTTCGAACCTGGTCCCTCCATTACACAGCATACAAGA